AAATGAAAATATAAAAGAAAAAGGCACGGGCATGTTATGACATGTCACAAATGGAAAAAAAATCGCTACAGTTTTTGCTTCTTTCGTGGTTTATCTGGACATTATAAATGTAAGCTTGCATTTTCATTAAAAAATATATTTATTTAAGTTGTAGTTGTACTATTTCAATTTTATTATAAAAATAAACTTCATATTTATCAACATGATATAGGTAATGTCTGTGAATGTTTACATCTCTACAATCCAAGATGGCGGTCAAATGTGAATAACGAACAAAGGATATAGCGAACTAAATTTCTTGGTCCCTTGGAGTTCGTTATATCCGTGTTCTACTGTAGTTACAATTCAGTAAACTTCAAATTAGTAAGTTCAATTATGTTTAATCTATTCGAGCTTGGATGTATAATTACTTGTGTTTATACATTATGTTTCAGTATATGAAACATGACAACGTAATGATGCCTAAAAAGTAAATTCAAACTATTCTATTGTTTTTTTAATTCTTTGTATGTCCTTGAAATTTCATATATTGTTTCCTATTTATTAGGTAGATGAAGGAAATATAATTTTTAGTAACCTCTAAACCATTACATCTAATTCAATCAAGGTGCATACGAAGTATTTTAGTATCCATTCCCAAGGAAGAGTACCAGGCACTTACCTCTGTAAAAACATCATAATCCCCTTTCTCGATGACATGTGTTCATTTGCTAAATACTGTACAAGCCTATGATAATGATTAGCAATTGTTATCAAAACACTTTAAATACTTCTTCTGATTGATACTAAAGGTGGGATCTCTCGTAAGAAAAGCTAACATTTGCTAAGTACTGCTAAATTGTTTGAAATAATAGGTACAGTGCGATTTTTAAAAGTACAACACACATGTGCGTCTCTCGCTGAATAAGAGGTGCTTTCTGTTGACGACTGTATGTGGCTCTCGCTGTGAGAAACTGCTAATTACCTGCCCCATAAACATGTCACTCGCTGTGAGGAGCTGATTAATTTGCCCCATATATGCGTCTCTCGGCCTTAATGAGTTAATGACATAATGCTTAAAGAGGTTAAATACATAAAACCAAAGCAAAATTGATTTTTGATGCTGAGAAATGTTCAGCTTCGAAACACCAAGAGTCCAGTCACTCTCATGTACAGCTCTTTCAGAGAATGTAATCTTCTGAGAGCACATTAAGTATCACATCCTTCTTCAACAGAGGCTCTGGAGGTTTCTGAGGTAATTCGTCCAGAAATCAGCCTGGCTGATCCAGACGGTAAGACTGATTGCAGAGGCCCATCATAAATGTTCACATTCACATTCAAACTTTTAAAGTTGGAAGGACTACACTTTCTAAGGGACTTGATCCACAAACCTATGCAAACTGGAAGTGAAAGGATGCTTAGTTCAGCATCCCAATGCAACCCACATGAAAAAGAAACTCTTATTCTCTATATCAGCTCCAAAGCATGGCATTTGAACTAGTCCAGGCTAGAAGTGCATTTACTGAACTTCTTCATTCTGTGGTAAGTTTGACTCTTTGATCAGGTATCAGTGTTGTTGTATACCTGGATATTATCTTGTGTTGTGATTTAACACATCACTTTCTTTTCCCCAATCTCTGGGCTTTGTAAGAACTGGAATAAATCCATTACCTTCCTTGGGTTCAGATAAACACAATTAATCTTACTTTGATCCTATGAGAGAAGAAGGTGGAGAACATTGTGATAAGTTGTCACATGAGAGAGAAATATGTAAGGATTCAACGACTCGCAAATCTGATAGGGGAAATTGTCAGCTTCAATGAGGGCAATCATACTAGCTTAACTGCAGTGTTGTTACCTGCAGGTGTTTTCGAGCAGAGAGCTCTTGTGAGTTATGAGTCAATGATAATATTGTCTTTAGATTGCCTGGAAGAACTGACAGTGGGGGTGACTAATTTCAACAGGAAATCTATCATAGTGTCTCATGGGGATATAGGGTTTCTGCCTCCAAAACCTTCTGATTTTACCAGCGGTCCATATGCCCAGAAAAGATAACATCTATGCAGACATGGAGTTTGCCATTTCAACTACTTTAGCGATTGGATGCTCAATCCAATCATCTTTGCACGGGGCAACCTGATACTGAGCCCATCACTTTCACTTTCAGGCATCAAAACCAGAAAAAAATCAGAGGAGAATGCACAGTTGATATCCTGGCACATGAGGCGCTTACATTTTTCCTGGAATAGGTGGGCTAGCTGGCACAATCAACAGGGTCTTGATCCCTTTTCAGCAACCTTAGAAAATTATAGGTGTCAGCTCCTTTATTATGAGGAACACAAAATTTGGCTGTATATATTTACTCCTTCATCAGGTGAATGAAAAACTAGAAAGCAGATATCTTTATCAGTAAAGACAACAACATTGATGACATAAAAATGGTGGGCACTTAACAAGGGAAGCCTGTAGTAGTTAACTGGTGCTGTTTGGAAATGGCTATGAACAAACAGAAGAGAGTGAGTGAGATATATAGTGAGAGAGTTGTTGTTTATTTTAGCCTCATCTTGTACATACAAATAATGTATACATAAATTTATAGAGCTGTCCATGCACAAGCCGCCACAAGGCTATAAAAGACTTAAAGAGCATTAAAATATGTGAGATGGATAAATGATTAAAATATATTACATGAAATTATACAGTTGAAATATAAAAAGACATACATGCACACACTGGAATTAATCCAGGTGTAAATAGTCTTGTTAGGTGATTAACCACTGATAGGTCATGGACAAAGGCATTGGAGGTGGGTGGGTAGTAGCACTGATTGTTATTGTGAAGACATGGAAGCCAGGACAGATAATTATATTAATAAGACCGAAGTACTAGGCATGTTCCCTTGTCACGGTTGATTGCTGGTTGGGATCTCCTGATATCTATGGCCTCTTTTAGCTTCCTTTGGCACTAGTTGGTGGTGGTGGCTTCCCACATGGTGCCGATGTATTCAGAAATGTATTCCAGTTTTTTGACAGATGTCTGGTGTTCTATGAGTCTGGTGTTGAAGGGTCTGAGGGTTTTGTCAAAGAATGGGTCACCATATTTGCAGAGGATCTGGTATACACATCCTTTGGTGTTGGGACTTGAGCTGCTGGTGCCATTGGTGTGTCTTCATAGTCTTGCCGCTGGAGACCTGATATCTAAGTTATCATTTGCTTTCAAAAGGCGGTAAACCTGATGGCTGACAACCACAGACACAAATGGATCTGCCTTGCGTACTTTTAACCCTGCCATTGAGGGTTATAATGTGGGTGAGTACCCACTTGTTGGGAACTTCATATTCTAGGATGTGGATCTGGTGATGCCACATTTAATTTTTTTAAAGATATACTCATTTATTTGACAAAAACTTGTCTGAGAAGTTGCGAATGCTTCTGATGTTAATCTCCACTAATAGATCTTCGGAGCTGTTCTCTCTGGGTACCAGACACATGGAAAACAGTGGCACTGAAGTGGAATTTACAGTGACTAAACCCACTAAGCTGACAAAGACAATCAGTGCCTAAGGGGGTCAGCTGATCCAGTCCAGGGGAAAATTGTTGATGCAGCATCTATTTCCTCGAGGTGTCTATCCTAGAAAAACATTAGTAGATTATTACTACCTGAACTATCATATATTAATCTTGACTTTTGACACTTACAGTAACTTTGTGGAGAAAGAACAACTTTCTATGGGCAGTCTATGTTGTGTCACATCATGAACATTATCTATAAATCACTGGGATCCTTGACAAAAGTCAAAGAGGTGGAAAAAATTATGCTTAATAAAATGTTTAAATTATCGAGAAGTATAATTGATATATGCTGGTGTTTTATAAAAGCTCAATATCACTCAGAGATAGTGTCGCTTAAAATTCTGTACATAATTCCAGTGAGCATGCATGTTAATTAAATCTGAATTGAATCTGACAATGGAAGGAAAAAATAACAAACACTTTCTTCAAACTGGACTAGTTACAAAATATTTGACACTTACCATAATTAGTTTAAGCAATGAAATTACATGGACTGGCACACAACACTGTAAGCTGACAGCTTCAACTTCTTGCTTTGGTTTCATTGGTCGCTACTTTAAATAGCATTTGACCATCGTTTCAGCAACATTGGATCGGTAGGAACTGTCTAACAACCTTGACTGCAGCATCCCAGGGCATAATCACTGCATTCTTGTGGTTGTTGACCTTGCAAAAAGACTTGGTAAAGCTTAAATATACCTGAAGACCACTAGAAATATGGTAAACAGGGGTAACTGAGAAATGTTGGTCATTATGTTACAAGGTCTGTGATTATCGCATATTTCTATTTCTAATATCAAAATCTATCAGGGAATTGTTGTTAGTTGTGAGTGTGTTAAAATTTGGTTTAATACCCCATTTCTGACATCCCCAGAATTGATAACACTGAAAACTGTGTAAATGTCTGTGTGCTTTTTGTGTAATTCTAATACTAGTAGTATGTAGCATTTGCATGTAAGTTTGAATGTTTGCATGTATGTGAGTGTTTGGATATATAATGTATATGTAAGCGCGCATAGGTATGTTATTGTGTTTGTAGGTATATATATTTGTGTGAGGACGTCATAGAGTGATAGCGTAAGAACATAAGCCTGTGATTGTGTATGTGAGTGTGTGATTACCCGATTGCTAATGTGTGTGAATGCTTGATTGCTTGTATGCGCGAGTGTATGATTGCATATGCGTGTGCATGCATGCGTCAATGTGGTTGTAATTTTTGTGTGATTGTATTCTCTTATTTTATTGTATTGCTGAGATTTTTTGTGATTTTAGTGTCTCATAGGCCATATGGCTGGGGGATTTTTATATTCAATGTATGTAGTTATTGTATTGTATCCCATTGTAAAAGCATGTGACACTTTAATAAGATTCTTTCTCTCTCCAGACTTTTATAAGTAATATTTTTTCATTTGTTAAGACAAATTGAAGTTGAAAAACTGAAAGCTGTACCTTCTCTTAAATGTTAAAAGCACGACGCAGAGACTGTATCCATGTTGGAATTCCATTTGTCTTAGACTTGCAGACTAAGGCCAGGAGTGATGGACAAAGTCTATACAATGTTCTAACTGGCCAGAGCAGAACATGAGCCCAGCCATGGGAGATGCAGTTCACATAGCAGGAAGCCAGCACCCCATTGACAACAATGGTTCCAGTCATTGTGAATGGTGCATAAAGACCTTCTTCAAAGGATTTACTTATTCTGGTCACCATTTCTTCCTCTTCATGTTCTGTCAGGAGTATGTCTCCAGTTGCAACGTCTTCTGCCGCAGTTTCTACCCAATGCTGGTTCTTCTTTGTGTATAAGTAGTGACCAGGTGAAAGTGTTATTGTGTGATTCTCAGTATTTATGTTGATGAAATTGGCAACTGAGGCCTCCTGCAAGTGTCCAAACATATAAACTGTACTGAAATCATGTCCATTTTTGCCCAATGACACAAGGACTTTTTTGTCCAATCTGAAGATTTGAAAGAGGGATTGTCTCACCAGTGTCAGTTATGACTGTTGCATCTGCAGGAAAACACCCAGCACCATCTTCTTCTGCAGAGGATGCAATCTGTAGACCAACCGTTTCAACAATGACCTCTTCCTTCTCTTCTTCCTTCTCTTCTTCCTTCTCTTCTCTCTTTTCTTTTTCCTCCTCCTTAAGTTTCTTTGCTTCTTCAAAGTATTTATTACTATATTTGACTCTGTTTTTCATTTCATCAATGATTTGGACAAGTTTGATAAATTGTTCCCTAAACTTTCCGAGATCACTTTCCAAGTTGTCTATCAACACATACCGCTGTTGGCATTTATGTAGCAATTCGTCAACAAATCCAGTTTGTGACTGTATGTAGTCTTCAAACGTCTCATTTCGGTAACGATTCTGCACTTTGACAAAGGTATCACCATGGGTAAAAACAATTACACCATAGTCCATTAGGGCTTTCTGTCCAAACATCTTTTCCATCAGTTTAATTGCCATTCTTTCCTCTGGAGTCATTTTTGTGTCCCAACTCAGTGTAATCAAAAATGCATCATATCCACTTGGGTTGGAGGCTATTGCTTTACTTATTTCTTTTAACGCTTTTCTTGGATGTCTTGTGTCCATAGTCCCTGGTGTGTCAACCACACAGATTGTTCTTCCTCCAACTTGACTCACTTTCTTCAGACATTTATCGGTACCTGAGGACATTGATACTGAGACTTGATACCAGTTCTTATCAAAAACAGCATTTGCGAAAGAACTTTTCCCATGTCCAGTTTTTCCTAGGAGGCATAGAGCAAGATCACATCCCTGTGGCAAGTCCTTCAGTGGAGTATTCTGCTTGGAGAGAAATACCAGCTGAAAAAAATACCATTGTTCTGAAGCTCATTGTTTCTGTCTGTCCTAAAAATTGGAATATACAGCACAGTCTGTTGCTGATGACTGATCAAGGTCATTGTGGAAGAGAATGTATGCGCCCTGTGTGGAACTGGGAACATATATCTGTGTAAATAGGTCAATCAGCTATTTTACTAATTGTAATAATTAATTGTTAGAAACCTGTTTAGACCAATTTGATCAATATTACTTTTTCATTAAAGGTCACATGCAACATAAAACACAACTTTGCACATTCTGATACCTTTCGGTATGGACTCACAGAAACAAATCATCAAAAATGCAAATTCAACTTATAAAGTTGAAAAATAACGCGATGAAAAAACCCGCGAAATCGTAGTTCAAACGATTCACTAACTTTCCCCAAGCGCTTGGGGGAATTGAAGTGGTTTCAACAGCTGGGCTCATAGCACATGCGCAGTGAAATAGGTTCGCGGAGCTTGGAAGCGGGTTGTCCGGTGAATATTCGGCGAAGGCTTTGGTGTGAGCTATTTTTCTAATGTTTTGTTGATATTTCACAGGCGCGAGCTTTTTATATGTTATTACACTAGATTACCGATTTAACTGTTTATATAATTTCATTTGTCTATTTCACCACACGTTCTTCTTACCGAGTCACTTTCTCAGTTCGATACTTAAAAGCAATGTCATTAATTAGCGTCGACAGAATTTCTAACTGTGATATAGATATGTCGTTGTGGCCCCTATGTGTCTGCCTGCCCGTCTGATAATGACAATATTCAGTACACAATTTCAATCACTGACCACATGCAATTTGAACTTAACACCTATCAGGCTATACACCATAAACAAAACGCATTGATTTATGGCCCGAGTTCGGTCTCTGTCACATTATGTAATTACACAGACAGGCAGGTGTGATACTTGTACACATGACATGTTATGATGTCTGTTGATTTCAAAATGTTTATAACAAAAAATGAGCATGTATTTACAAAACCCAACATCTCTATATATATACACACAATGAGCCATGAGGACATCTGCAAATGAACCAGCTGTTACACTTGAGTGCACACCCACCCGCTCTGACTGGGTTCGGTATCCCGGCTGCTTCGTTTCTTGGGAAGTAAGCCCAAGTACAAAATATTGCACTTTTGATTTGCGATTGTACGCTTATTATTTTGTTTTTATGTTTTTTCATAACCAGCAATGTATATTATATGTCATGAATAGTGATAATTGTGTTTTAATTATGTTTGATTTTTTGGTTGCATGTGACCTTTAAGAAACATCTAAGAATAATTAACATTGGAAATGTCTCAAAAGAATACTGCCCTTACATCAGCTCCATAAAGCATGCATTTGAACTATGAAGCAAGGATGTTTGTTAAGTCCTGTTCTTATTTCCTTCTTTAGTGAATTAGAAAATGAAATAATTCACAAAGGCAAACATGGTGTACAACTATATCCTGATATTTGTGAGATTTTAATGTTACTGTTTGTTGACGACATGATCTTAATTTTGGACTCAGTGGTAGGTTTACAGAAACAATTGGACATTTTGGAGACCTACTCAAAAGAATGGAAATTAGATTCTAACCTTGATAAGTCAAATATTGTTGCATTAAGAAGGGGAGGACAACTCACTAATGGTGAAAAATGATCTATCATGGCATTTCAATGCAAATAGTTTCTGAATACAAATATCTTGGAGTACTTTTTAATTATACATTGAATATGGGTAAAACTGATGTTGCCCTATCAGCAAAAGCAAAAATATTTCTTGAGTATTATTTACTTTCATCGCTATCTATTGGCACCAATATCACCAATGATGTTTTTTATACTTTTTGATGCACAGATTCAACCAATGCTTTTGTATGGGGCAGAAATATGGGGGTTTCAGAATTTTGAACCAACTGAAAAAATACATGTATTGGCATGTAAGAAGTTCCTTAATGTTAACATTACAACACTTACTATATGGTATATGGAAGTGGGGGTAGCCTAGTGGTTAAAGTGCTGGCTCGATCACCGAAGACCCGGGTTCGATTCCCCACATGGGCACAATGTGTTAAGCCCATTTCTGGTGTCCCCCGCTGTGATATTGCTGGAATATTGCTAAAAGCGGCGTAAAACTAAACTCAGTCAGCATCTACCCAAAAAAATCCTACAACATCCTGTTTAATTTAGATAATCTTGGTTATGAGTGAGTGAGCGAGTTCAGTTTTACACCGCACTCAACAATATTTCAGTTATATGGCGGCGGTCTGTAAATAATCAAGTCTGGACCAGACAATCCATGAGCATCGATCTGCTCAACTGGGAACTGATGACATGTGTCAACAAGGTCAACGAGCCTGACCATCCGATCCCGTTAGTCACCTCTTACGACAAGCATGGGTTACTGAAGATCAATTCTAACCCGGACCTTCACAGGTATCTTGGTTATGGAACATGGGCATCAAATATAAAATATCTGTTATTTTCGTGTGAATTTTGGTATGTATTGCGTTTACAAGGTGTTGGTAATGAGTGGCTGTTTATGAACGAATTTCGTCAAAGAGACGTTGCTATGTTTTGTCAGAATTGGATGAATACCCTTAGTTTAAGTCCCAGATTTGATGTATATAGATCCTTTATAACAATGATCGAACCTGAAACAGTACAAACAAGAAACTTAGAAATACAGTTATTACATTTAGATTTAGGTTTGACAGATATAATGATCAATACTGGCCGTAAATGGTCACTGGTCAAACATCTAAGATTTTGCCCTGTCTGTATGGCGGATATCGAAGAAGAATATCATCTGTTGTTTATATGTGATACTTATTCTGATATAACCAGGATATTTAGAATTGAAAACTTAAAATACATTTAGTAAATATTTAAAGTGTCATTGTGCTTGGAAAGTGCATTGACCAGAGTAACCAAATTCATATCGATTCATTTCCCTTGCATACAACAGATCTAATAAGGGAGATGAGTGGAACATGTGGATCGGGTGACTCATATACCATTTAGGAAATTACTGGTCATTAAGATACTTAGAATCAGAAAAGGGACACACGTAATGATTCGATTAAGCATCTTCTGGCGCCTGCCAGTCGGAAGTTTTATTCGGTTGAATGCTTCATGAATGATTTAAGCTCACTAATAAAGTACATTTAAAATGGAAGAAATTGATGGTACCGATTAAGTCTTGGAAGAGAGGAAATGATTGTAGTTAGTGGTGCAGCTGGGATATGAGTGTATATGGTGTAGGACAGTATTTCAGGGGGGAGGAGCCAAAATTGTTATGAAGAATATTTTGTTAGTTGACTGGGAAAGAGTGCGCGATTCTGGGCCCCACCGTTGACTTGAGAGGTTCTCTCTGTATATTGAGAGAATGGCTCAGATGAACTTGTAACATTAGGAGTTGTACAAGAATCCAACAAGTTCTTCCATGAAGTTTGTGAATCTGTGTTGTGTGTAGACCAGGAAAGCTAGGCAATATCTGAGGACCTTTGTGAAAGTATTCATTCCAAAATAAATGGACTTGAACAACATACCCGGACTTATCTTTGACTATCCATCTTAGCTACATCATCCCCAGAACAAGAGTGGATAGACAGATTGCCAAGGGAGAAGGGTACAACACCAAGACAGCCTCAGGTAACAGATGGTGGAGATGCTTCAAGTTCTCTGTACCATGCTCAAATTTTTCCTGGTGTGTGAAAAGTTATGATTCTGTTGGACTTGCAACTAATGAGGAGAGGTACGTGAACTGTTTCCATCTCCTGCTATGGGTATGTGCTATGTGGACATGGAAGAGACTGTTGCCATTCATGGTAGGTTATGTCTTGAATTACTGAAAAGGGTGCATTTTGCCCTTAAACCATGTGAAGATCTCTCCCCACGCCTGACAGTGAACATTAACTCTACGGGCCCCAGGACTTATTGATCTCCTAGACAGGGTGGTCACTACCACTACAGTGTTATTGATTTCCTGGTGTGGACAGTTTCAGCGGAACAGAACCCCAGCAGCCTACTTGTGTGATTAGTAACTTTCTTCAGTGTTCATTGAATGTTTAGCTTTCGTACTGTGAGACTCTGAATCTGACTTTTATCTATCCTGTGAGTATTATTATTTGTACAAATTATGTATTATACCACGTCATGTCATCTGATGATGAGGGTACAGTAGTTAAGTTTTCTACTCCCACTAACCATTCCAATGCCTCTCTTGATTTGCCAGCATTCTCACCAAGTTTTGCTACTGTAACTAATCCAGTTGTTAGATCTCCTTTAAGAGACAGGTGCATCCTTCATTTCACCAACTTCTCAGAGAGAGTAAGGTCGTTTTGCCGAGTCTACTGCAGATACAACTGTAACTTTCAAAATGCTGTATGACAGTGAAGAGGGTGTGGCAGCACAAGTTAAGAAAGAGGGTCAGTCTAGTTCTTTTCACAGTATTGTGAGGATAACCCAGACAGACTAAACAGAAGTGTTTGTACATTGGCTAATACTTTGGCCCTTGGTCACATCAATCTTGAGAAATTTGATGGAAGTGAATCAGGTAAGACCAGTGCTTGGTTGAAACGTTATGAAAAGTTTACATCTCTGAACAATTATTCTGATGAGGGCAAGAAAGAAGCTTTCATTTTGTGGCTAGAGGGCAAAGCTTTTAAATGGTTTGAGGCAAAAGACTTTGAGGATGATTCTTGGAAGGAAGTAAAAGCTGCTTTTCTTGCTAGGTAAAAGCAAAATTCTGTGAAATGTTATGATAAGTTAGATATGTTGTACAGTAGGAAGCAAAAAGACTCTGAGAATTTTGAGGACTTCCTCCAAGACCTTGAACATGAGGCAAGGAGTCTTGATCGTTTTGATGACAAATTTGTTACGGACGCTGTAATCAGGAATTCCAAGCCTCAGATAAAGCAGTTTATCCTAACTAGGCCTCACGATACAAAGCACCAGGTCCTCCAGAGTGCAAGGATGGCGGATGCTGCTTTTGGTAGCATGTCGCTCTCCTCAGACAATCTTGTGGCTGTTATAGAGGACCTTAAAGGACAGATACCATCCTGGACATCAAGGGAGGATGCACAGGACGATAAAGACAATTCATATGGAAGACGGCAAAGTGCTTCTCCTTGTCGAGTGACATTCGGGACAATTCAGGATTTCAGTCTCAAGAGCCTAGTGGGAAACAGAACTTTTATAGCTCTCAG